TTGGCCACCACACAGTTTTAACCTAATCTATTGCACCCTTCTGGAACTTGGATTAACTGTCTCCCCTGTCCAGATCAAAGTCCAGAGTAACCAGCTGAAGCTGCCCCACCATTCCCTTTAAAGGGGAAAGTCTGTGAATACCAGCTCTCTCTTCCAGGTTCCCTTGGGTCATGCCAGAGTACTTCCTCCCAGGTCGACCCTGTTTCCATGGGCAATGCAAGTTTAAAATAAAAGAAGACTGAAACTCAAAATAGCCTGGCATCTGGTGTAGTGCCACCCAGGGACTAGGACTCATGTGTCTGAAGTCCAGTTTTGTGGGCCTACTCCTGCGGTGGGTGCCACCAATCACACTCTTGGCTTCTGCTGCTGGTGTTTGGGGTTGAGGTGCTCCTTGCTCTCCCTCGTGCTGGCTCGTGCATGCTCCCCCAGCATCCTGTCTGGGCACTGCCGGGCCTGCAGGGATGCTCAATGTAGCCCATGCTGCTCAGGCTCCTGCACTGCTTTCTAGGGCTTGCTAGTGCCCTGGATGCCTTTTTATGATATCACAAGCAATGCGACCTTCCACACTCAGGGAGAGCATGCTTTAAAGCGTGCTGGAAATGCCACACGTGTCTCAGCTTCTTGGGCTAGGGTCACTGTGGAGAAGGTAAGCGGCTCTTCCATCTGCACCAGGCTTTGCTTCCCCATCAGGTGGGGTTTTTTCGAGGGAGAGGGGGACCCTCCCTGCTCCTGGGATCTCTGGGAGCCCCGTTGCCGAGCGTGGTGACATACAGGATGGATACCAACTTTTTCAACTTCTCCTACCTCTGTGCAAAAACCAAAATTATTTGGCCTTGATTGTGGAACTTCAGTATGCCAACCGTTGTGCTGTCACCGCTGGTGCTATAATTTAAAGATTTCTTTTAGTTTTTATTAAGGATACTGCTTGAAATGGAAAAGGCTGATTGGAAGAATTTCAAGGCCGGATTCACTTGTATTCTCTTGTTGCTTGTCACCTCTTCAGTGATGTATATCATCCATTAAACCATATTAACTGGTCAAGGAAACTGGGTTCACACCTACTTTGCCTCTATAGAACACTACATATCACTTGAGGGGCACCAATCAATCTGGATGTAGTGTTGGATGACAACCGCTGCATACATGTGTTTCTAAGTTGCCCAAATGCCTGAATACTGGTTCCAGTTATCAGTAGTGTTTCTGTTGGCATAGAATAATAGAAAAGTAGGCCTGGAAGGGACCTCAGGGGTCATCTAGTTCAATCATTCCTATCCAAACCATCCTCTACAAATCCATTGGTTAAATTATGAACAATTTGTTACTGTTAATTTTGCTGAAATCACTGGGATTTTTTAAGGCAGTAATACTAACACAGTGACCTAACTAGGATTAAACTGAATGATTCAATGATTAAGAGAAAGCTAATGGAGATATTGGATTTAGTTTAGGAACTTATTTGTTGGTTTATTTTTTGAGGAGCTACATATCGAAGACAGGCTGAGAGCCATGGGGCTCTTTAGCCTGGAAATGCGCAGGCTCAGGGGTGATCTGATAAGTTTATCAGGGGTGACCACCAGTATCTGGGGGAATGTTTGTTCACCAGAACACCCCAAGGGATGACAAGGTCGAATGGTTATAAACTACTGCAAGACCGTTTCAGGCTGGACATAAGGAAGAATTTCTTTACTGTCCAATTCTGCAAGGTCTGGAACAGCCTGCCATCGGAGGTGGTTCCAGCACCTACATTGAACACCTTCAAGAGTAAATTGGATGCTTATCTTGCTGGGATCCTATGACCCCAGCTGACTTCCTGCCCTTCGGGCAGGGGGGCTGGACTCAATGATCTTCCGAGGTCCCTTCCAGCCCTAATGTCTACGAAATCTACAAAATCTATGAAATCTATGGAATTTACACTGTTCATAATGGTATGTGTAACTTCCCTTTGAGGACAATTCTTAGAAAACCAGGTCTTAAAAATGAATACACATACCGTTACTGCTTTTAAAAGGTATAGGGGGGTTCATATGACATATGCTGGAGTTCTAGCTTGTGAATGTGGTGTTAGATCAATAATCTGGGGGGAGTCAGAGATAAAAAAGGCTGTTTGAAAGTTGCTTTCAACTGGACACAGAAAGAAATTATCTTTAATGATTTCTCTCCTATTTTTCTAGATCTGTACTGCAAATTACCCTCTTCAAGTAAGAAACTTGTAATTGTATCTTCCCTATAAAAGTGATATTTCAACATGCTATATCAAAGCACTGCTGAATGATGGATACGTGATGTGTTGATAGATAGTTACATGCTCTAATTATTTTGAAGCATAAGGAGCTATAGAAGAGACACCAGGAGAACATATTTTGTCTGCATTTATGCTGTCTGAAAAATTATACCTCAAGACTGATTCAAAATGATGTTTCTAAAGAGTATTTTATTTAAAAGGAGATGCTTGGTAATGAGAAATGGAGATGCCTGGGCAAGAGACCAGGAGGTAATCGTTTCATTATCAGGCATCTCTGCTAAGTCTCTTATAATGCCAAGCAGGGAAGATCCTGGTGGTGTGCATTGGCATGGATGCACCCCCTTTCAGTCAATGTAACCATGAGAACAGAAGACAGGGATTTTTTAAATTCCCTAAATTGGGTATGAATCTCCCCTCTCTTCTGTTTCATGTTCTGTGGAACCTCCTCTCCCCTTCCCTTTTCCTTCCCCCTCCCCTCACAATGCTGCTGCTGTCTCCACCTGCTGTGTAGGGTGTGGGTGAGGAAAGGCTCCAGAGCTGCTCCTGTCTATTCCAGGCATAGTGGGAGTTAGGTTTAGCACCAGTGATGGGCAGGTTTCCATTCTGTGCGTGGTTCCTTTGGGTGTTGTTCCTTGGTTTTTCTTGCCCCTTTAGCTTGATGTCCTCCTATTTCCTGACCTGGGTAAAGGACTCTAGCCTGATGATTGTCTTTTCTGGCTCACCTAAAATTTATAATTATAATTCTCTTTTAAAGCCATTTTGTCAAAGTAATGGCATTTATAAAGAACTTCATCCTTTCATTTTTTTATTTTGACCAATTTTCCATGTTTTACAAACTACATTTAACAATTCTTCCAATAAATTAAAATAATTAGAATAGAATCAGAATAATCCAACAATCAGATTAGAAACCCATTTTCCATCATGCATATTAGACACATATCTGTACTTACAGAGTGCATGGTGATCACATTTCATTTTCTTTACTAGTGTCTGCTTCCTTTATTGTTGGGGTTCTTCAGGAAAAATGCTGACAAATCCCATAACCTGTTGTATCTTTGGCCTTCTTTCTCTGATCTTGATAAGTACATCCAAATCCAGCTGACCAGCTACACATTTATTCATTGCAAATTTATTCTGGAGGTCCATTATGGAAGCTGAATGTGCCAAGAAAGCAAGATTCCTGAAGTATCTCTGCCCATTCAGTTGGTCTCTCTCTTTTCTTTGGCCTACCTTTTTTGTGTGCCTTGAACAGCTTGGACAGATGGCTGGCTCTGAGCTGTATATTAAGAGCTAGTACCAAGTTTGGGTGACTTGTCCTATTTTCTTCATTTTCATGAAAGCTTGACCAATCAAGTTAGCTGCTGGAACTCCGGCTGTTCATCTTTGGGCTACAAGTTTGATGTAAACCAAACAAATTTCCATGATAGGAAATCTTTGAAAAATAGTAGGTTATTGGATCTGAGAGAACTAAACCTTGTCCTTTACGGCCTCTATAGAATGCAAGCTGGAAAACTGTTGTTAATATCCTGTTTTATCTAAGTTCTCTGATTAGCCCAAGGACTTCCTCCATAGTCTGTAATTCTGTGAATTCCCCCTCCAGTTGTTATTTTAACTCATTAATTTGTTGTTGCTGTTAGGGTGTCCCAAGGTGGCAAAAACATCCTGGAGAACATTTTGGTCCATGGTAAACATGTTGCCAGTCACCTCAAAGATTTATTTTACTAATTCTAGATTGGGAAATTTGAAGTTAAGTTTCAACCTTACCCAGGAAATTTGTTATTGCTTCCCCAGTAGTGATTTTCTCTCTGGTTGCAAACAACTTTCTGGGAATCTCTTGAGATTGCTTTCATCCTTCTTTAAAAGCTACTCCAGCTACTCGTATCTTTTTTTTGCAGTCTCCATCTTTTGTGCTATTTCTTTTTTAAATTCCACTTGGCCATCTATGAGTTTGGCAAGTGCCTCCATTATTTGTTCCATCATGATATTTGTCTATAAACTATCCCACTCGTCACAACAAGGTTGCCCACCTTTGACTTGAGCAGTTAACATTTTGGGGCTTTAATGCATGGTTTTCATTAGGAGAAGAAACAGATGATATGCTAGGTATCTTAAATGTAGTCTTGCTTATTTAAAAAAAATGTATACAAAATCTATCTAGTACAAAAGAAGTGCATTTTAGCAGGCCTTTGATTGATGGCAACCATCACCTACCTCTAGCAAAACAATATTCGAGAGCAACATGATACTGCAGTTAAAAATTAAAAGATACATTTATACTAAATCCCTGTTTTCAACTATATATAACTTTGCCTAAAAACACCTTAGAATCCAAATATCTTGTACTATGGATGATCTTCAAATGACATTTTTTACATTAAACCCAACTGGTCAGCGTCTTTTGAAATTAGCTAAAGGGGGGGTGGAGAGAGATAGAGAGAGAGAGAGAGAGAGGAGACCAAGTCCAACAAAATTTAGTCATGTGCCTGTGTGTACTGCTTCACAGTGAACATAAGAGCAAAAAAGCCATACTAGGTCATAACAATAGTCCATCTTGCCCAGTATTCTGTCTTCAATACTGGCAAATAGCAGATGCTTTAAAGAGAGAGCATATGAACTGGGCAAGTCTAATGTGACACCTTTCCTGGTATCAATCATCATTAGTTGAAATATCAGTGGATGTTATCTGATTAACAATGTGCAGGTTAGAAAAAAAATGTTATCTATATTTAAAGTTATTTTTCCTATTTATTTTACTGGGAGAATGTTATGATTCTTTTTGACCTCAGAGTACCGAGAAAAACAATTATTAATTTAAACTCATCTGCCATGCAAATATCTTTGATGCAGATTAGTTCACTAGAATTAAATTTAGTTTAGTATCTTTTAGAAATTAATCAGGTGCTTAAAGCCCACTTACTTTTAGACTGGATTACTAAATTTTCTTTAAAAAATGGCATGCAAGAGATCATGATAACAAATGATATTTCTTGAACACTGATCCGGCAAAGCCTTAATGCACTTGACTAATTTTTTGCAGTTTGAATGGTCTTCTGAAGCCAATTAGATTATCTGTATACATAAAATTAAATAAGTGCATAAATCTAAGCAGGATTGGGGTCTTCCTTGGTGGCTGTCACACCAAACTTTATTCTTATCAACATTATACACTCCACTGTAGGCTTAATTTTATAGACCTTATTTTAAATCAGAATGCACTACTTCCAATTTGACCTGGTGCAACAGAACATCTTCTTAAAAGTACTCCGTAATTCTGGACTTCGGAATGCATAGACCATAGGATCAATGACAGCATTGCACAAGATGAGTGTGCCATTCACTTGAAAAATTGACATGTAACAAGCACAGTAAGGATTGTGTGGGCAAAACTGCATAAGAAGGATGTGAAGAACAAAGGGCGCCCAACAGAAAAGAAAAACACCAAGGAAAATAGTTAATGTAATGGCCCCTTTCGTATTTGTTCTCTGGTGAACTGTACTAGTAGGCAGTGAAGCAATTTTTTTGGCATGTGATCGTGCAAGCAGAAACATGTGGATATAGAGGCATAATATAAAAATTAACATCAAAGGGAACAGGATAGTGAAAGAAATTACTACAGCTGTTTCATGGGAGAAAATGGCAATGGCAATGCCACTTCCAGCACAAAAGGTCCAGATTGCTGCCAGGATGATTAATGCACGCTTCAGTGTCATGATATTATGGTATCGCAATGCGTAGAAGATAGTTATGTATCTGTCAGCTGCAATAGTTAGCAAGCTGAAAATTGACCCCAGTAAAGAAAGAATGAACATAGAATCTATGACATCATCCATCTTGGTCTCAAAGTCTCCACGAGGCTTCAAATACCCCATTTTGCATAAAATGATCAAGATATTTTCCAGAGTTTTGTACAGACTACCCAGCATATCTGAAACTGCTAAGCTGCAGATAAAAAAGTACATGGGCAAGTGGAGATTCTTATTCCTGATCACAGCTATAAGGACAAGTAGGTTTTCCAGTATTCCAACAGCAGCAATTGTGAAAAAGACTTCTTCTGGTACCACAACCTGTGTACAGTCTGTTTTGTTCAAGGAGAGAGCACTGATATTTTCAGATGATGGAATGCTTGTCTGCCCTAAAAGTCTTATTATTTCAGAAGCTCTGTCAGTCCTCATTTCTTCTACTTGTGGAAAAAGATATGTTATTATTACTCAGGCTTGACTTCACTGTGATATTCACTTGTCAATAAGATAATCTCTTTTGTGATGAAGGCTTTTTGGTTTTGTCTTGAACAATTGTAAGATTTAACCAAAATGTACTGAACCACCTACAATAAAAAGTACAGAAAAGTAAGTGACAAAAAATACATGTGTGTGTCAAAATTAGATATCTGAATTATAACTTGTTCATTCCATCACATTCAATTAGTATTTGTCATTACTAGGAGTAGGTAAACTGGTTGAAAAAATAAGAACTCTCCCAGTCTCCAGCCCAAACCTCAAAGGGAAACAAAAGGCAAATTCCTTTTCCTCAGTTCACAGAAGTTAGGTAAGTGTATTTCCCTTTTGCCAACAGGCCTCCTTTTTCAAAGCTAATCTTTGAGTTTCTGAGTGTCTGGCAATCTTAACAGGCCAAGATGTTTGCTTTCAATAATTCTGCCACTTTCCATAAGATTGACATTACTATTAAAAACAAATTAGACAAATGCCAATAGAAACCATTGTGGAGTACAACAACATACTTACAATGGTACTTCTGATACTGAAACAAAATATCCCTTATTTAGTTGTACAAAATATGAATATTAGTAAATGTTTATGTTTTTCAGAGCCATATTAAAGGTTATTTAACAGGCAACTATTTTTTCAAATAAATCATTTTTTTTTATTTGACTAAAGTATCTTTAATTTAGATTCAGATCCAAAGGAAAACCTTGAACATACAACTTAGAAAAGAATCATAGAATCAAAGACCCAGAAGGGACCTGTACGATCAGGTCAGGTCCCCTGCCATGGGCAGGAAGTATTGGGCTCAGATGAACTTGGCAAGGTGCCTATCCAGCCTAGTCTTGAACACCTCCAAGGTGGGCGACTGCACCACCTCTGCTGGAAGTGTATTCCAGAGTCTGGTGACCCTTACAGAGAACAAGTTTTTCCTTATATCCAACTTGAATTTACCATCTATTAGTTTATGCCCATTGGTCCTCGTCCTCCCCTGAGGTGCCCTCCTGAATAGTTGCTCTCCTAGTTCTTGATACTCCCCCCTGAAGTACTTGTAGGCAACTATCAAGTCACTTCTCAGCCTCCTCTTCCTCAGGCTGAACAGGCCCAGTTCCTGGAGTCTCTCCTTATAGGGCCTACCCTCCATGCCCTTAATCAAATGGGTGGCCCTTCTTTGTACTCTCCTGAGCATATCTGTGTCCTTCTTGAAGTGTGGTGCCCAGAACTGGGCACAGTACTCCAGCTGAGGCCTCACCAATGCTGAAAAGAGAGGGAGGAGAGCCTCCCTGGATCTATTAGCCACACAGTGGCTGAAGCATGCCAGACTTTTATTGGCCCTTTTGACAGCCCCATCACACTGTTGGGTCATATTCATCTTCCAGTTGATCGTGACCCCCAGGTCTCTTTCAGATGTTTGCCAGCCAGTAAGCTACCACCCATTGTATATTTGTGGTGAGGGTCTTTCCTACCCAGGTGAAGGACCTTACACTTTTCCTTGTTAAATCTCATCTGATTTTGTTCCACCCATAAGTCCAGTCTATCAATGTCCTCCTGGATCTTTTCCCTATCCTCTGGTGTGCCTGCATTTCGCCACAGCTTGGTATCATCTGCAAACTTAATCAATGTGCTTTCTACCCCTTCATCCAAATGGATAATGAAAATATTAAATAGCATGGGTCCAAGCACTGATCCCTGGGGGACCCCACTGGAGACTGCCCTCCAGGATGAGGCCATCCCATCAATTACTACTCTGGCCTCTGAGCCAGTTGTCCACCCACCTCACTGTACACTGGTCCAGTACTCTCCAGTTTGTTAGAGAATCCCATGGGAGACAAAGTCAAAAGCTTTACTGAAGTCTAAGTAAATGATGAAGTATTTCTTTCAACATATAGATCACGTTTTTTCATTATGACTATGGTCCAACTCTCAGGAGAGTTAATAGAAATCTTTCCAGAGGTAAGGCTTATTCTGCTGTTTGTGAAGCTGTAAACGGATAGAATGCTTAATTTGTCTTGGGTATAATCTTGAGACAGTAGGACTTTGGTCTTTTGGTAATTCTGAAGCCCCCAATTATGAAAAACATGCATTGCTTTTTTCTCAATGTCCCTTCCTGTGAATGGTTAAAACTACCAGGAGAATGAGACTGTATGTTTAATACAGTGTTCAGTCAGTTGATAATTTTATACTGCCTAACTCTAGAAAAGCTGGCTGTTTTGTTTAGAGTGAAGGTGGTTAAATGCTGCAATGCACTTTATTGTTTCAGGGAGGGCAGCGCAAAAGCCTTATTGACACTATGGGTGAACAAACAAAGCTACCTTTAACTGATGAGTGTCAGGAATGGGTGCATCTGATTGGCACTTGAAAATAGTGCAGCCTCAATTTAGACAGCTGTGTCCAGTATTTAGATTACAGTTCAGTAGTACTCAGTCAGTGACTTCTCTGCTGAGATTACCAGCAGGATCCCATTTATTTTCATGTTTTTGAAGAATATTAGAACATCAGGTACGGGACTAACCTCATCAATTTGCTTCATTTTAGGTTTAAAGGAAAGCATTCAGAAGAATGACCATGTTTATTTGGCAGCAAAAACTAATGTGGAATTAATGCCTTACATTATACCACACAGATTTGCGCTCCTGGTCATTTCCTAATGGCAGGCTGGTCTAACTGAACACGTTCTATACAAACAGGGCATGGGACTTTGGTGGGTTAAGGATGGAACTAGTACTGAGAATGAGAGATTCAGCTTTGTGTATAAATTGAATGGGATTTTTCCAGAGACTCTTTTGGAGCTACTGACACAGATAAGCTTTATGATTTATAAAGCTAGCATTCTATTTCAGAATAATTTTATTTTGCTATGTGATTCATTTAATAAAAATAGATAAAATCACATTTCAGTGGGATTTAAGCAAACAACTGAGTGGGTAAAATGCACTTATTAAATCTTGTTCTTTTAAATCTTTTTTTAGTTCAAGGATTTTTCCTTATACTCAATTGCTATCACTGTACCTATTTTCCCTGAGCTCATAATACACTGGATAGTGGTAGATACTCATTGTAAGAGACTTGAAGGATAACGTATGTCAATAATACAAGCTTGCATCAATGAAAATGTATTAAGCCTAGGCTATTTGTACAGAGTACAATGTAATGTCATATAGAAGGAGTGAAATTAGTTCGAGTCCCAGAAGCAGTATAATCATGTTGATGCCTGGGCTAATTAAGCCTGCTTTCATAGCTGCATAAATCCAGCCAGGCAAAGAGTAAAGCTCACATAGTTCTAGTGCTTCTGGTACCAAAGCTAGCTAGATCAGAGCTAACTTCAGTATCTGTATACAGTGTTGCATTATTAGGTATAGAGACACCCTTAGTATCCAGAGTATTAATGAGGAGAATAGGTCAATTATTGTAAATTGGATTATGTATTTCTCTTGCTGAATATATGATTTAGAAACTTTGCAGAATTCTTTTCTTATTAAACAATGTTTTTTTCCAGACATGACAGCAATGCAGCACCTTTAAAATCACATCTACCAGTGGCACTCTCAAACACGCTTTCTCTAGTATAGCTATATCAGTATGGTGCTGCTAGAGGCCTAGTTGGATCTGGTACTCAGGAACACTGATTAAACTTAGGGTATGTCTACATAATACAATGTAGGACCATATAGAAATAAGATGCTAGGTCTAAGCAAGCTACCTGCCTAGAGTGTCATGTTAATTTGGCTACAGGGCTTCCAGTTTAGGAGGCGGCAGTGTTTGAGGGCTGCACTGCCTGGTGAGTTAAGCTTACAATGTAGACATGCCCTAAAGCATATTTACACTGCCAGAGTAGTATAAAAAAAACTTTACACATCTCAGCCCCAGGGCTTGAACCTATGATGTGCCAAGAAGTCTCAAATTCAGCTGGCCTTAGTAGGAATAGGGGCTTTCAGCACTTCAGAGGATGCAGCCCTTAAACATGATGAAGGGCCTCCTTCCTACAGAACTGGCCTCTGTTGTCAACCTACATATCATTTTCTGTGCACTATATTGCACCAGAAATTCTTGGAAGCACTTGGAAGTCCCACAAGCTCCGGAATTTTTACTGAATTGATCTTTAGTTCATTGCACTAAAAAAATATGCCCCTTTAAGTTGATCTGATCTTCTTTTCATGTGTCTCAGGGTAAAAGGTAAGTTCAGCTCTGATCTATAATGATGATAAATCCCTGGCAGATTTTTAGTCAGTGAATATTTCTTAAAATGTATATCAGTTCTTTCCTTTCCTATCCATGGGAATTTTATATTAAACCCTTGTATTCCTGGCTAGGGAAAGAGCATGACTATAATTAATTTCTGAATAACTGGCTGTAAAGCGGTCAGGATATTGATTACTATCTTCTTCACTTAGACTTCAATACACTCACCAGTAATGCAGAGATGATGGATTTACATTAGGCTAAGAGACTTTGTTTATTCCCCATTATCATAATTAATTGAGAAAAAATACTGTTTCATAGGATTGAAAAATAATGTGTTAAATTTTAGAGATACAGCAGTTTCCCTGACATTCAGAATACCACCAAGCTTTCTCTTTGATCCAGAAATCATTTTTCCTATCAAAGATTTTGTTAATAGAAGAGATTACTCATCTCAGCCTTTCAGTCCTGAAGCTACTCACCTTTAAATCAATAGCAAAAACTCCCACTGACTTCGATGGTTGCAGGACAAGGACCTCCATCCTCAAATCTCACTAGAAGTTCACTTTATTTTCCACTTCTAACAATAGCTGGTAGTGGAATAATAACTCCAGTAGGAAGGGGCTTGGCAAGCTGTGCTTGCTTGGTTCTATGTAGTGCTGCTTCATGCACAGTTCAGACTTTTCAAGGTGACAGCAGAGTTCCTATGTTCAGGATGCATTACTGTGGAGAGGAGAAATAAAAACTTTCATCCTCTTTGTTATAGTTGTTACTTTTAGTAATAAAAATGTATTCTATAAAAATGATAACTTGCTACATTTCTCCTCCTTTTCAGTTCTACAGATTTACAATAACATTTGATTATGAAACAAGCCAGTTAAAAACAGCTAATATGGAACTTCTTTATTTGTTTTGACAATATGAA